CTGGGTTACACATGTGTGCTTTATATCAGTATACGTACATGCATCAATAGGTAGGTATGTTACAAAATATTTTTGCGTCGTGTTGATCCTCTGGATCAATGTTATCTTGTTAATATTTTTGATACTTTTTTTTATTGTGAAGACTGAGCACACAATTTAATCAAAATAAATTCTCTATCATTGTCGGCGTCATTCAGGCATCCTTGTTTACATTGACCCTATTATCGTCAGGACACAGTTTTCAGTGAAGAAAGCTATACCTTAGAGTATTACATGGATGCGTTTATCCTGCTGGTTTTACGAAACGTGTGTCAGATGTCCTATACCAAGTTTCTGACACACGTTTCGTTAAACCAGAACACCCACCGACAAGCATCCTAACTTCTATTTTATTGTGAAAAAGCGAGTTAACAAACATACCTGCGCACCACACGGGTAATAATGATTTTACGCGCTGTACGGAGTTATTTCTCGTAACCAACATTTATGGCATTTAGAAGTGATACATACAAGAGACAGAGATCTTATGGATGTCAACTTCTTTTTTATGAGGAACACAACGTTTTGGAGTGTATGCTTACTTATTCACACACCTGAGGAAGGAGTAAGTATATACATGTAGTCCGAAACGTAGTATTTTGTCCTATTTTGGACTAGGCATTCGCGTATAGTAAATACAATTAACAATATATAAATTAATTATATATATATTGTCTATATTGATTATATATATAAAGCACAGTAAAGTCTCAGGCACAATATAGTAACTGTTATAATTAAATAAGTGGAGTAAGATTGAGCACAGTTTTAAAACTGTGTTCAATCTTACTCCCCTTATTTCATTATTAATAGACCGTGGTCTAGTGGTAGAGCGTCCGCCCGGAGAGCGGAAGGTTCGGGGTTCATTCCCCGACTGCGTCATACCAAAAGACAAAAGATGGTGCTTGTTGTTACCCTGCCTGGCGCTCAGCATTAAGGGGATAAAACAAGGACTGGTCGGCTCGGAGTCTGTATACTGTGTCTGAGTGGGGTATTCATGTTAAACTGCGGCATGGTATCTCAGTGAGCTAGCACTATAAATCGGCATCAGTCCGGACTAGTTAGTACAAGCAGCCACACAAACACACACACGTACATGCACGTCGCTATATAAGTGCAATAATCTTGGACGCGACGCTAAACCCCATTTCAACTCACCTGATTATTAATATATATAAAAAAAATTAACAACAAAATAATAATAAAGTGTTGATAATAAACATAATTGGCTGATATCATCATGGGTGTAATATTTCATGGCCACACATTTAACGAAGTACTACTTTACAGAAATCTCAAAAAGAAAGATTGCGAGAAATATATAAAGGAAGTGTTTTCGTACAACACTTATTAATCTTTAGAATTTAAATCTGCGGACCTAATATGATTTTATTTGCGTCCCGCGTACCAAACTGCAGAGTCCCGAATACCCTCTAAACAGACCTCGAATCTTGCACACCAAACAAGGGTTGACAGCCACAGGATTACCGTGCAGGTTCAGACCTTGATGTGACCAGGTTTCAAAGATACAGCCGGTATAGAGTTGTGGTGATGTAAAAGAAGGTTGGTGTATATCCTATAGTTAAAGTATTATTAATGATGTCAACAGATATATTATATAATACCTAATATAATAGAATAATGTATTGTTACTGTAAGGCAGAATGATTAACACAGTTGACACATTTCACATTAAATTATTATTTGTACCAATGTACTCAACACGCTTATAAGAGATAAAAAAACCAACCCAGATCAGCCGAGATACTTGTTTAAATTTGACTTAAACGGTAAAAGATGAGTTATGATAGACTAACATTTAGTCTATGAACTCTTATATTACACAATATCCTTCTTGACTCTAAAGGGGGCACGGGTGGCCCAGTCGTCTAAGGCGCCGCGATTCGCTGTTCAGAGTTGCGTCCCTTGGGCATGCCAGAAACCTATGATCGTGGGTTCGAATCCCGGTTCGCCCCAATTATGTTTCTAGGTTTGTAAGCACCATACCCGTGCTCGTGGGTTTCACCGAAGTGGTAAACGTCTTAGACCTGCATCACTTCAGGCTTTCCTCCCAAATTAAGCTGACACGCCGTGATATAACTGGAATAATGTTAAAAGCGGCGTTAAACCCAACTCACTCACACTCTTGACTCTAAAAAATAACAAAAAACATTTTCCCTATGCTGATTCACTGTGGTGCAGGGCTAGCTAGAGCTGGCTAGACTTGCTTTTGTATAAGCTTCTATATTGTGCTTTTTCATAAAATAAATATATTCCACAGTCATGTTGCAGGACCAGAGTTATGATAACGTCCCTCTTTGGCACACTGGAAATATCAAATTTTACGGTACACTTTGAAATATGGAAACTATTGGGCGTGTTCATATGACTAATAATTCATTCTTCCTCCTTAGACACGTGTGAGGTTTAGACACTTAATGTGATGAAGTAGCTAATTAAGGCTAAAATCAGAAAAATGCCTATTTCTCGAATTCAAGAGATAATCAAACAGTGTACAAGTCCGCGACCCAAAGTTAATTGTATTCCGTGTGTTTGTACTACTTTAAAGACAAGATATTTACGGATGACTAAGTCTTTATTCCATTATGATGCGATCCTTATACTGTTGTCAAGCAAGAGTGCCATCCATAACATATCTTGTCTTCACTGTTACTTGCCAACTTCTAAAAAATGCCAATGAATCAGTTCATTTGTACCACTTTACCTACATCTTCTAGGGCTGTCTGCTTCGACCAAGCACTTGCTCGTGTTTAAATAAATAATAACTTAAAACGCTCTCTGAAAACAGTTGAGCCTCACGAATTGTGTTATTTATAAAAAAAAAAAATACATGCAAGTGTTGAATAAAAGTCCATATAATTTTCATTCAAATGAACTCATGTGATAACCTCATTGCGATTTCTGAACGTTCTGCTCGTTTCGTAAATTTTGACTATCTTGTGGGCCTTTGTTAGTCTGTATTACAGACCCAGAAAGAAATATATCCAATACAGGCCATGCAAGTATATAATATTTGGAAAGTCTAGATTACTGCAGTATCTCCCGGCTCCTTTTCATTATATTTTTAACTATAATTTAACAACTGTTTTTTTCCTGTAAAATATGTTCATTAGTGAGACTAGATGTTAGCCTAGGCCGTTTAGGTATACGTCTTTTATACTGAGAGAGTCTCGGTTATTATTGTGGGTGGCTCGTGGTGACAATGGGGGAATATAAAGAAATCAGTCATTGGATAAATCAGTTCACACAGTACTGTCTAAAATACATCTCTGTCACCCTGGTGCATGGTAACTATATATTAGCCGAGTTCAGTCGGCCAACTGCTACAATTTACACCATGAACGGGAAAAGTAACTGATTTCCGCAGTGGCTCTGATCTTTATCGTAACATGTTATACTCGTGGGAAAGTGTCTCAATCTGGTAATGGATCCTTATATATTCTGGTGTGTGGTGAATTCGATCTCTTCAGACTTCTACACTTATTCGGACGCTAGGGAATAAATTATTTTGAATCGTTAATTCCCAATGCAAAATATACACCTGGAAAATGACTAAGCACCGTTTACTGTATATTTCCATACGAAATTGTCATGTTTAACAATCGTATCTTGTTTCTGAAGGTGTCATAATGTTACTGTGGGTGCATGTTGTTTAATGCCGCAGTCGGTAATACTATGCCAGCTTCATCATCCATACGGCTCGAAATACGTGTCAGTACGAAGCATAGGTGTGTTAAAGATGAGATGCGCCCCACGGCATTGTTTACGAAATATAGACACCACTCTTGTTAACGCTGTACTTATGTGTCCAAATGTGCAATGACGTCACAATAGTCACGTTGACTGTTGGCTTCTCGAAATGCTTTTCAAATAGGACAGATCTTCATGGAGGATTTATTTTGTCACGAAACAAGCCTACCTCATCGAATGACCGGACAAAGTTGATGTTTTCACAAGTTGGTCTGACAATGTTCAATTTACTATGTATTCTTCTTATTGTTTTCTTAACGATCTTACTCTGAAAAGTATAGTGTCGTCATTGAGGCAGACAGAAAGTAGTCCCGGCATTTATATGTTATTTAAGATCACTTCACTGAAATGAGATTTTATCTTTTCTTGTAGTAGATCGACACAATAGTTTATCATAAAGAATAGAAAAATAAAGCGATGATTAAATTCGTGTTTGAATTGTACATGCACATATTTTGAAATGTACAGATGTAGTACGTTGTAGACACCCCACCTTTAAAACTGGATCCGCCCTTGCTTGGTTGATGCATGTCATTATATCCCAATTGCGTAGATCGATGCTCATTATGTCAATCACTGGATTGTCTGGTCCAGACTCGATTATTAACGGACCGCCGTCATATAGCTGGACCATTCATGAGTACGGCGTTCAACAATAAGCAACAACAACAACAACAACAACTAGGCATGATGATATATAACTAGTATGATATCCCCAATATCTCACGCTTGAATATTTGAATTCTTAAATACTACATCACTTTTACTTTTCTAAGGTTTAGGCTAGAAATTGGAAATTGATTCACCTAAATAAAATTTAACAGTTAACTTTCCCCATCATCGAAGATAAAACGCAGTTGTGCCATCATTCTCAGTCAGCGGGAGCGGTAAGGGATAGGTGCCAAAGATTGGAACTCTGGCACCATCACTCAAACAGGTGCCCGCTACATCCGCGCAATTTAGTTCCCGCTTCGTTGTTAAATTGTTTCACTTGTTTGATTTTACATAATGACAGGCATCTTGATTATCAATAAACGAAGAGAAATATTGTGTCACATTTACATTTCAGAAAACAATCAGCTTACAGAATATCTATGGTAACGGTTTACGTTTTCACGGAAGTGTTCGTTTCTTCCGAGTAGTGATATCAGGAACTTCCTGGGAACTACTTACTATACTAACTTTTCAATTCTTAGCGAAAGTCATATATAAGTTATATCGAAAAGTTTAAATGACTTCAGAACATGTTTCAAGATACAAGACATAGCAGACCGTGAACGAGACATGTACATTTTGTGTGTGGTACTTGTCCACGCGGGTTTAATTGCCTCTGGTAAGGAGTGATTAATGCTGTCAAAACAAGGCCTCGCTTCACTGGCTGGGCTTTTGTTGTGCATTGTATCGATTGTTTGTCCTCTATTTAATGGGTTATCGCGCTTGACACTTTCCAACCACGGTATTGATTGACTGTGATTAAGGGATCAGTGCGGTGAACGATAGGTGCTTGAGAAATCAACACCGTTTCGGTTGACACGACAGATCAGTTACAGCGTTGACCGTAGAACAATACAGATGATTGTTGATTTCAGTGAAATATACAAGGGCTGTAGATTTCACGTATTTGAAAATCACAAGTTTGAATGAAAGTCCTTCATACTAAGTGATTATGGCATCTATTTAGAAGATAATAAACAAATGAAACTATTTCTGCACTTTAAATAGATGCATCTACATTTGATTATTATCTTACCTGTCAATAAAAAATATTCAGTAGATACTTTCGAAATTAAATGTTGATGGAATTTCATTTTAAGTGAAATGACATTTCATTTGTTGTTGGAAGAGTTTGACAAAATCATTGACATTGTAATTTGATCAAATCAGGGGACTTTTTGATATGCTACATCTATTTACATATTTGATTAACATGATTAAAGTAGTGAATACAGGAAGCAATTTAAAATTTAAGTTAGAATTGTGTTACTTTCATGTCTACAGCAACAGTGACATTACATGAAACAATATCCATTTATCAAGAATTCAAATAAGGGATTGCTTGAAATTAGAATCTTAATATATATCCGTAAATGTCAAGTATTAATGGTTTTTACCACATTAATCTTCAGATATCGTGAATTGATTTATTGGTGTTAATTATTTGATTTGAGATATATATTTCAAAGACAGTTGGACATCTCAAATTTGTAGCTAATGATATCAATTTCTAAAATCAGCCTACACACCAAGTGACAGCCTTGAATAAGTACACAGTCGAAAGTAAATGGATGGAAAGAAAATTGTGAAGAGCCATTTGAAACAAACTTGAAAAAACTTTTATGCAAGCACTTTTTAAAAGAAATAAGCTCTTGGTCTAAGGTTATTCTGAAATAGATAAACTCTGGGTGCTTCTTCAAGGAAAGGCATCTATGATATTTGTTAGAATTTGGAGAAAAAGATTTCCCATCTCCCAAACAGAATATTAGTGTAGCAGATTTACTTTTTGTTTAAAAAGGTCAATTCTAAGGATATTGCAAACTGATTTTCAACACAGTTGCATTTGTTTAAGATTGTTGTTGTCGGACTCTTGGCCTGGGAATGTGTTGCCTTGTCCTTAGATAATTAGAGATGGCAGTCAGTACAGATTACATAGCGAACCAGCACCCCATAAACAGACACCGTGACATCAAGTGACTTATAACACAACTTCATGGAACTTTGAGTAAAGTACTGCCTGGTATGGAGATGTAGAGACAAGTCTAAAAGATTCCTATTGAAGGTTATAGAAAATGTCTATGTTGAGTATTCATGCTGTCTTGAATGTTTTGGGCTGGTCGGGTAGCCTAGTGGTTAAGGCGTTCGTTCGTCACGCTGAAAACCCGGGTTTCCGATTCCTGACATGGGTACAATGTGTGAAGCTCATTTCTAGTGTTCCCCGCTGTGATATTGCTGGAATATTTCTAAAAGCGGTGTAAAATCATACTCACTCACTTGAATGTTTGACTGACTGACCCCATGTTTAGATTCTGACCAAATAGAGTATTCATGTTGTCTTTAATGAATCAGCTGACTGACCATATACCGGTAAATATAATATAATAAACATGCAAGTTTGGATTATCCTGCGATCATTTTTTACTTTCTTTGTTTTTCCAACCTGAAGAAAGAAAAGAGTTATTTTCCTGAGACCAAAATTACTTAAGAGGATAGCCATGAAAAATAAGCATTCAGTGGTGGACAGGTGAGGTACCTCTTGAACGTTAATGCTTCTGTTAATATTTGACCTGCTTGTTATCAGAGCAGGCATATGTTATAATCATACTTATTCCAACAATATTTGTGCCAGGGACCGACAGTGTCTGAAATTCCCAGTCTTAAGTTATAATTTACCTGTCAAAAACCGGTAATTACCAGTAAATGGAAACATTTCATGTCAAATATGACTTTTTGCCCATATGTTCCTTCTCGACTTACCCATTAGAAAATCCTTGCAAGGCAAAACAATGTGTGTTTCCTATTTCAGCCCATTTAGAACTAGGGCAGGTAATTTATTTATTGTTTTAATGTTCTGTTCCTTGGTAATGCAGGGTGCAATTTCGTATTATGCACCTAGGGTGTCATCCTGATTGGTGGATTATATAGGGAAATAGTTGTGCACTGATCATCACTGTATATTCAAGCACATTCCACAGATCAGCACCTGGAGATTAACAATATCAAAACCGAGCAGTTTACTATTTATTAGGTAATAAATAAATTTTTGTGGTGTTCATTGTAATTCCTGCATTCTGATTAGCTGAATTGGTCACGTGGTATTGCATTCATTTCCCAATGAATGTAAAAAATTAAGCCACACCCTTCGAGATGTATTACTTTTATTACTGCGGAATGTCGGGTAATTCCAGTATTACAGTCCAGCAATTCCCATTCTGCTCACGTGTATTGGCATAGCAGATTTTCACAAAAGCTTGCACATCGGTTTTTCGATTCATACCTCAATAAACCGAAAAAATACACAGTCAATCCTTAAGGGCTGTAAGAACATAAAAGATAGTGTTTAGATGACAAGTGTATAGATTAAAGGCATAGATTTCATGATAACATAAAGTCATAAAATCACACATGGGAGTAAATAAAATAGTGTTTGGAAGTTTAGCACTTAGAAGTTTCTAGGATTATTCACTTTAGTCCCACACACCCAGCAAGTTCGCAATGGAATCTTGAGTATTCCATGGCAGAAACCTAAAAATCAGTCTGTCTTCATCCACTGCGATGTATCACCTTCTAACTGATCAATGTCATTGTTGGTATTTGACCGATCAGGATGTAAGCGCACCTTGTGCAGGTTGCAGATAACAACTGAATGCACATCAGGTAAATTGTCTGCTGCTATGCTTTACTGGAACATTATATGTGAGTGAGTGAGTGAGTTTGGTTTTACGCCGCTTTTAGCAATATTCCAGCAATATCATGGCGGGGGACACCAGAAATGGGCTTCACACATTGTACTCATGTCGGGAATCGAACCCGGGTCTTCGGCATGACGAGCAAACGCTTTAACCACTAGGCTACCCGACCGCCCCTATCTGTGTTTGGAGCGATGATCGGTGATCTATAGCGTAAACAGGATGTGAACATTGTTCAAATGAAAGTAATTTAGTTTCGGTATGTTTAGATCTTGTATACAGGGTATGAATTTGAAGCAAGGGATATTTATTGGCCTATTTGTGGAATATTTTACTGACTGCATTCAGTGCAGTCTGCTCATTAACTTAGGTGCAGATTTTATCCTGCACCAGTGCAGTCTGCTCATTAACTTAGGTGCAGATTTTATCCTGCACCAGTGCAGTCTGCTCATTAACTTAGGTGCAGATTTTATCCTGCACCAGTGCAGTCTGCTCATTAACTTAGGTGCAGATTTTATCCTGCACCAGTGCAGTCTGCTCATTAACTTAGGTGCAGATTTTATCCTGCACCAGTGCAGTCTGCTCATTAACTTAGGTGCAGATTTTATCCTGCACCAGTGCAGTCTGCTCATTAACTTAGGTGTAGATTTTATCCTGCACCAGTGCAGTCTGCTCATTAACTTAGGTGCAGATTTTATCCTGCACCAGTGCAGTCTGCTCATTAACTTAGGTGTAGATTTTATCCTGCACCAGTGCAGTCTGCTCATTAACTTAGGTGTAGATTTTATCCTGCACCAGTGCAGTCTGCTCATTAACTTAGGTGTAGATTTTATCCTGCACCAGTGCAGTCTGCTCATTAACTTAGGTGTAGATTTTATCCTGCACCAGTGCAGTCTGCTCATTAACTTAGGTGCAGATTTTATCCTGCACCAGTGCAGTCTGCTCATTAACTTAGGTGCAGATTTTATCCTGCACCAGTGCAGTCTGCTCATTAACTTAGGTGTAGATTTTATCCTGCACCAGTGCAGTCTGCTCATTAACTTAGGTGTATATTTTATCCTGCACCAGTGCAGTCTTGTCAATGAGAAATCACAACCTATTATGGCAATTTGCAGGATGTCAATAAAAGCTTGCTTTCAAATGGAGATAATTAATGTGTTTTCTTTAGTTAAGTGCAACAAATTTTTGTGTGTCACGTTTGACGTAACACACTGACACTACCGGGCTGGAAATAAGCGATATATTGCTACTTGATAATGACAAGGGAAAAAGGTTTGAGGCCAGATGAAGGTCAGTCTAGAGACCAGAAACAAACATTATCTTTGGCCTGATCAGAATCACTAGTTGTTCCACTACTTTATCAAAGACAATAATTTCCTATTTTTTTTCTTGTCTGACTAAATGACTCTGAAAATGTTTTCCCGACTCAAGGAGACAAACATCCTTCTCTGAGGCTGCTTAAGTCTGTGTCAGCCTAGCAAGGTCATTGTAACTTGCAAAACCTTCCAACTATCATTGATGACATTGTCATGTTTAATGTCAAACACTCTTTGTTCACTTGATTGATGTAGAATTTGCACTGTATGCCACACGGATGTATTTTAAACTACTATACTGAAACATGTGTTAACGTGGTATTTTCAGTCTAAAACTACAATTACCTGACAATACACTTTAAGTATCTGGTGTCAGCTTATTAATAAACATATTCACAAAGGCAAAATTGATCGCTTGAATTCATTGACAAAAAATATGATCTCAATGGTGATTTGGACTAAATGGCTCCGCTGTGTTCACAGAGCATATCTCCAAGACTACCAGTGTTCAGTATGCACACACAATGACCAAATTGTACACCTGTGGTTTATATTCTTGACATGGTTTCAATTATTTGTTGACATTATTCATATGAACATAAAGATACAAAGATCCAAATCTAAATTCCATGTTATTGTTCTGATACTCTTGTATACGGACAGAGGAGATAGGAATACTCCCGTCAAGACTCCCGTTAGACAGACACTGTGGTGGGACGAGGTGTAACACTCAGATGATTTGTTCTTTTTCATTTGTGGGGGCCGGGGGATTTGTCATCTTCCCGTGACTCGTGTTTCAATTTATGTTTAGGTGAAATTTAAATCTTACATGGATGATAAGCACGACATTGGACAAAAAGAAATGTTCCTTAATCAATTCTGACAGTTTGTAAGGATCAAGAACAAATGATTAAATTTGTATGACCTTCAGTGAACATTTTATGGCAGACATTCACTACATGGGACAAAAGGATATAAATGTTTGTCAATTCTCACAGCAATATGTAATGTAAAACCATTAATCTGAAACTCATCGTAAATCTAAACACAAGTTGTGTTAACAGGTTGGATTTAAGTGGTAAAGATATCTTAAACTGTCATTATTACATGTATTAATTCATAAATTTCCATGAGGAAGTTTATGACCAGTTATATGAAATCCTCTTGAAAAAAAGTTGTTGTCACTTGCAGCTGTCGCCACAATCGTAATTGATCATGAGTGTGACGGAACTGTGTTTGGTGATGTGGAGATTTATCTGTGCGTGTTCACCTGTTACAGGAAGTGGCATCATCTGGTACAGAGGCTGCTATCATGACATGAGCAATCAGATTGGACAAGATGGGGTTAATGTGCTGTCAGAAGATTCACCTCTTGTTGGATGTTCAAAACTCTGTGCAAAACAAAGGTAGGTAACTGTGGTGGGATTGGGATATCAGTTAGGGGAAGGGGAAGAATAAGTCATGTTAGAGACAGTGTCACTGATGTGGGAGTACCCCTGAGGGTCCCCGTGGTAAAATGTGTCCCCAGGACCCCAGCCTATTGCTAGTCGTAAGAGGTGACTAACTTGGAACCCTGTTGTAGAATGTGTCCCCAGGACCCCACCCTATTGCTAGACGTAAGGGGTGACTAACTTGGAACCCTGTTGTAGAAGGTGTCCCCAGGACCCCACCCTATTGCTAGACGTAAGGGGTGCCTACTTGGAACCCTGTTGTAGAAGGTGTCCCCAGGACCCCACCCTATAGCTAGATGTAAGGGGTGCCTACTTGGGACCCTGTTGTAGAATGTGTCCCCAGGACCCCACCCTATTGCTAGACGTAAGAGGTGACTAACTTGGGACCCTGTTGTAGAATGTTTCCCCAGGACCCCACCCTATTGCTAGACGTAAGGGGTGACTAACTTGGGACCCTGAATTGTGACAACATTTATGGCATTTCTGAAAGTGCTGAAATTGTATTTGCCCTCAGTTTACTTATAACTTTAGACTGACTCACGCTAGCAAGTCTGTGTCATATTGCAACCCTGAATAAGGGCTTAATCACTTCAGTGTTTCCTCACACATTAAACTTATGCCATGATATAAATTAATTTAATTATATCTGCTATTTGCTCCCATTGATACCTCTGTGTTAAGATCTGAGTACACCTCCATAGGTGAGTGAGGTAAACATTGAGTGAACTTTGACTGGCCAATCTAAACGAAGGATGTGCGAGTTCTCGAGCCAATCAGATGTTGGCTTTCTAAAACAATTAAGCTTCATTTCTTTACAACTCGATTTTGAAAACTTTAATTTGCAGGAATGAAAACACAACCATTCCTTTGATGGTAGTTCCCTTTGGTGTAGGTGCCATGGTGTCAAGAAGCAACGGTGTGTATTTAATTTCCACAGCAATATAATGACGTTATTTCTCTACATTTGGAAGGTGTCTTTTTTGTTTGTTTTCGAGATACAGAAATCAGATATGCTTGTTGGAATGTTTTGCCCACTAATATCTTTATGCAGAGCGGTATCGTATTGGAGTAAAAGATCTTCTTTTTTTTAGATTGTGATATGAATGAAACACTGACAGTAAAAACAACTCACACACTCACTCACTCACTCACTCACTCACTTACTCACTCACTCACTCACTCATGTTTAAATTGTGAAGATCTGTGTATTAGATTTGGTCATCAGCAACCCATGCATCTTGCAAGAGGCGACTAACTGAATTGGTTTGGCAGGCTCACTGACTTGGTTGATGCATGTCATCGTATCACAGGTTGATGCTTATGATGTCAATCACTGGATATTCTGGTCCCGACTTGATTATTAACAGATCACTGTCATATTGCTTGAATTTTGCTGAGTGTGGCGTTAAACAACAAACAAACAAAAGTACTCATTTTGAATGTTATTTGAGAAGTGTACAATTGCTGAAGGAAGATTGGTAACATGAAAAGTTTGTGAAAAGGTGTTATGCAAGATCAGGCATGAGGGCGGAGTAGGTTTATAATACCCACTGTACATGTCGTCATGGTATGCGGGGATGTAGCCGGGGAGTCGGGACCGCTACTGAAAGTACAGGTTCACTGATGGGGATACCTGGTCATCATCTGTCATCACTGACGGCCTGTTGGGGACGACATTTATACAACATTCACAGCATGACGGGCCTTGAAAATGAAAAATTATGTGAGTGTAACCTAGCTGGTGAATACGGATTGAAAAGTCTGTAAACCATAGAAACTATTGAGTCCTCAGGCTTTCGAAGATCAGAAATAACCCTGCCATGTCAGCATGATAAGGTGAACTAGGATGATGTCACCTCACAAGGTTCACAGCTTATTGCTAAGTACTACTGAGTTTATGTGTTATACTCTGTATGGTATTTTAAGAAGTGAACCTGAATTATTAATTTGCCACCAACATGAAAAACATGTATAGTTTGACAATAATTATACCTGTACATTGAGTGAGGTGTGTTAACCCTTTGCTAACCTCATTACCTGTCTCCTTTGATGTCTCTATTATCTGGTATCAGGTGACAGAAACTCGTTAGTGCAGGTAACCAGGGCGGGACTGGACAGTCTTCCAGATAAAGAGGTTTCTGTAGTGAAACTTGTCTGAAATGAGGCATGCCTCCTAATGTGTAAGAAATACAGCCAATGAGAGGCAAACACTTGAACTTGGCCTTGGAGATTGCCAAAATAAGATGGCTTAAAGTGAGTTTGTTAAAATCTAAAAGCACATTGTCCATATTTCTGGATATGCATATCAAAGTATGTGGGCATCTATTTGAACAAAATGCTCAATCAGCACAAGACCAGTGTTCGTTGGTTTCACCAAGTGGTAATCTTTCCGACCACATGAAACTAACATACCAAACAGAACAATGTTGTTGAACAATGAAATCATGAACTCACTCAGTGGACCAGCAGTTAACCAGCATGCACGTGGAGAGACAAATAAATATATCATGCACTGCAGCAAGGCCACTTTATGGTCGGTGATTGCAATGGATAGAAGAAGTACTGTCACACTGTCACATTGTCACATTGTCACATTAATAAAGGGGGATGAAAACAATGGCTGATTGTTAGTTTGTTGGCCAGCATGTCCTAGAAACATCTGTGTTTGTAATGGCTTCAGGCAGCCAACCAGAACAAGAGATAGGCTCGGTCTGGTCGTGATTGTGGTTTGGATCAACTTACCTGTCTGTATTTAGACGTTGCGATGGAACTGTGTCTTTAGTGGTTGATTGGCAGTTTTATCACCTGATCAAGGCTAACACTTCTGGTATACATTTCAACTTTACAGAAAGTCAAACGAGGAATGTTGTTAGCTTTCATTGTATTGGTTTTGACCTGCAGACAGAATGATGTAAGGGTAGGGGGAGGTGGGGAGGGTAGTGTCATGCTGTGGAACATCAGGATTTCCAGAATATCCTTCAGGCTGCAAGAATTTATGATTATCTGTCCTAAGTGAATCAATTTTAGAAGCCTAGGGCCTTTGTGAGCCAACACAGAGTGTCTATGTATTTGCCATTGCAAGTTGCAAGTAGGTTACTATGTACCATAGCCTCTGTAATGTAGAATATGTTGAGAAATGTAGGCCATAATAATAAAATGGTGATTGACATGGCTGTTATGACAGAAGCCTGAATCTAATGAATGAATGTTGGAAACCCTGGATACGATTGTAAAACTGATAGTTGGGCTGAGCAGAAAATTTCCAATCCCAATTTTCAACCCAGTGAGTGAGTTAGACTGGGTGGGTGAGTAAGTGAGTGAGTGAATGAGACTGGGTGGATGAGTGAGTGAGTGAGTTAGCGAGTGATGGAAATTTCAACAGTTCCATGGTCCAAATTAATGACTTACATTTTCGTGTGAATTACGAGATATGATCATCAAAACAGATTGATTGATGTTACTGCTTGCTGAGAACACATATAAAACATATGCTGATTGGGTGCTACTCAGTGATATGCCAGGTATATGACGGCAGTCTCTAAATAATAGAGTCTCGCCCAGACAATCCAGTGATTGACATCATGAGCATCAATCCACGCAACTGAGATACAATGTCATGCATCAACCATGTCTCAGAGCCTTACCACCCAATTTCGTTAGTCGCCTCTTATGACAGGCACAGTTGCATTTTAGGGCAATTGTCCAAAGTACACAAGTACAGAATTTAGTTCTATATATAGAACATGCCAGAACTGCTTGAGATGTGGAAATATACAATTGTAAAAACCGATAATTCCAATTTTCAACCCAGTAAGTGAGAGTGGGTAGGTGAGTGAGTGAGGTATTAATGCCTGTAAATAAAATCTGGTCCGACAAACCAGTGGTTGACAGTAATGAGCAATGCCTTCTGGGTATGATGATACACTATAAGCCATCACAGCCACCCCATCCTCATTTGTCAGTTCCTTTGACAAGCATCAATGCTGGCATCTTTGAATAATTTGTGATGTTTACACGTTATACGGCTTTTCCATTGGATGACAGGTCGGTCACATGAGCGTGAAACTGAAGTTCATAAGGTTATGAACGGCACAATTTGACGTTCATACAGTTTTCACGGGACTATTCTTGAAATGACGAATACACTGGTGGACTACTTCCACATTCCTGGGGAAACCCCTGGGAATTCCCTAGCACGAATAAATACAGAAGTGTTATTTCTCATCATCTAGGCCCTTTAATCTTGAACAGCGTTTTAGCATACCTTGGGATAAGTCAGAGAGTTTGATTGCATGCCCTTCAAGGATATCCTCGCTACAACCCATCCTAGAGACCAAAACGAAGAGAAGCACATCCAAACTATTGTAGTATCAACTCGATCCGTGTATAGACTACACTGACAATCCACAGCAATCTATGAATTAACCTTAGTATCAATTTGACACATCTTTATAATCACCCTTCAATGGTCGGCCAGTTGATCAGTGGTGAATAACACTTATGATAGCCACAGGTTCATTAACAATTTCAGAAATGTCTCCTAACACGTTTATCGTGTCAGTCATTTTGATGTCTTGTACTTGATATAAATATTTTGACGCGCTGACATTGTGATTTATTTACCGAGGTAGTTCTTAACAGGCCTTTCTCATCTAATGAGAATATTATTTAAATACATTTGTTGTACAGAAACTACAAAAGTTGTTCCTGTGGAGTATGCGTAAGCTCATGTCACCTCTAGTTTTGAGGAACTATTTTTACAGCTGGTTGTTGTATGGCTATCAGTTTAAACATGACATCACACATACTAAATAAAATTGTGTACAGATCTATGCCTACCTACTTCCTGTGAGCGACAAAACAGTGATGTAAAACATTATAAGAATTGACTTTCACGCTGTGTGAGTTCATTGGAGTATGAACCTTCATGGAGTGAGGGCCAAACATTGTCGAAG